TCAACGGTATGAATACTCGTACCGCTTTTTCAGCTTTAAGACAAAATAAGTGATACTACAGCTGTCTCTCCCGGGCTTTCCCTCAAAACTATTAACATTTAAACTCAAACTAATGCATATTCGAAAAGAATATAAAATTCTGCACACAACAAGTATAGTTTAGATCTTATTAGACTTTAACTACTATGTTTTTCAACGGTATAAAAACTCGTACTGTTTTTTCAGCTTTAAGACAAAATAAGTGAAACAACCGCTGTCTCTCCCGGGCTCTCCCATAAAACTTTTAACATTTCAGCTCAAACTGAGACATATTCTAATAGAATATAAAATTTTGCATACGACAAGTTCAGTTTGGCTGCGTTGCTTTGCAGTAAACCGCAAGATGCGTCGTAAAATTCAACTGCCACCACTGCAGGCACAACCGGAAGCCTTTTGTGATCCCCCCAGACGACGCGCTGCAGGTAGCAGGCAATAGAGCAGGTAGCAAGAAGAACGACACGAACCGACGGTGCGTAACAGTGGCCCACATCCTGCAAAACATCGCTTCCGCATCACACCGTTGCCTATTTTATTCCAAAGAACATAACATACAAATTTGCTTTAACAGTAGATGGAAATTATTCTTGTCGTCTGCAGAATTTTCTATTCTATTAGAATTTTTGTCTTAGTTTCAGCTTAAAAGTTAAATCGTTTTCAGGGAGAGCTCGGGAGAGACAGCTCAGCGGCCGCAGCAGTAGTTCTACTTATTTATTTTGTATTGAAGCTGAAAAAATGGTACCTGTTTTTATATCGTTGTTCTTCTTTAATAATGATACCATGCGATCGAAAAAATCGCGATCAGAGAAACCTTTGAAGAAAGTGACCAGACGTCCATTAGTCCAAATAATTTCTTTAGATCCTCATTCAGCCTTGTTTATATAAAAATTAAATAATGCGTTTCGTAAGTACTATTACTGACTCTTTACACTTGCTTTAATTCGCAATCAATTTACTTAATTGCCGAATAAAAATATTTAATTAAAATTCACAGGTAAATATAATCAGTAAAACTACTAGTAAGAACTATCACAGGTACTATTTATCCCACGTTTTTGTATTATTTATAGTAATAAAAATATAATTTAAATTTACAAATTTATAGCTGCCCTAAATGCTATATTTGCTTATCTATATCTGAAGTGATATAAATTAGATTATTAACTATATATGTATAATATACTGCTAACTGCTACACTATTCATAAAACGCGCTCAATGGGCTCTTTCACAAAAAATAAAATACCCAATTCAAGGAGAAAATCTGAAATAGAAGACTATTTTCAGTATATTTATCCAAAAAAAATAGTTCGACGACATTGAATAATTTTTTTATAGGCCCTCAAAATTGCTTTAATTTGAAATAATTTTAAAGCGCCAATTGATGACGTATGAAAAATACACTCAATCACATTGAAGAACCGTACTCGTGCGCCAGCCAAGAACTGGCAACATTGCAATTTGATTTGACCAGCACCACCTCAACTCAAGGCTAATCAAGATGATATGGGTAAGGCAAATATGGCGGCGAAGGCAGCGCATTATTAAATTGTTTACCTTTAACCTGAAAAGCCGGTAGTGGTTTCTCGTTCCGATTGCATACCAGAAATAATTAATTATCTCTAGTTTGTTGTGCTTCTGCAACACGTTTGTTTAGTTCTTAGTGTTCAGTGCATGGTGTGATCAGAAAATTGTGATAAAATAACACACAGTGTAATAAAAATCCAAATAGACATTCCACATAGAGAACTTCAAACTTTTGTGCTTGTCGTACTCCTCTATTATAAATTATTTTAAGGTAAAAACTACAAGTATTTATCAAAATATTACAACTAAATGAGTAAAAAGCCTTCGCCGCCAGTCTGCATAGTACTTTATAATGGTTACTTACAATAATCAAAAGATAGGTATTAAAGGGTTAACATTTTATTGTAGCATGCCTTTTACATGCTCTGTTCCAAATTGTCACGGGAATAATAGAGGGGGTCCCAAGGTTTCTGCTTTTATATTCCCCAAAAATGACGAGCTTCGTAGAAAATGGTTGACAGCTATTAAAAGAGATAATTTCACTCCTACTAGTAGTTCTCGGGTAAGAAGTGCATTAGATATGCCTCAAAAAGGCCGAAGGCTAAAGCCTCTGTTAGCCTAGTGAGGATGTAGTTATGGCTACTGCTTACACTTACCTCACTATAAGTAAAATATTGGAAGAAGAATCAAGTTTTTACATCAAAAAGATCACAGAAAGATATTGACAACATTGACATTTGAAAATATAAATGGCCTAGATGTAAGTCTTTTTTTAGGTCACAATTGCCCCTCACATACGTCAGAGTTTATTATTAAATCCATCTTGTTCAGAATATCCAATATTTTATTGAAGAACTATGCAAAAAAAGGAATGACGTCTTTACCACAAAGACAATGCCCTGTGTAAAGAGAAAGAGTAAAGTAACCTAAGCTATGCGTAAGTTTTACTTACGAATCCCCTAAAAGGTATTTAGTTTTTTTTCTATATGAAATCTTGAAACACATATTATATTTTTTATTTATCCTCACCTCTTATAGTTTAAATTTATTCCCATTTGTGTAATGCTGCAAAACATAGAAAAATATTCCATATTTTTTGACCCAAGCCAGTGTAGTTTATAATTCGAAGAGCATTTACCAAGGCTTTTACTAAGACAAGTAACTTCCTATACTGTCCATAATAGTATATATTTATCAAACGTTCAGTAAATTCTAAACTATGGTAGGTAAGTGTTTGCAATTCCACAGGCCTTGTGTGGAGGTGGTGGTGGGTCAGCATGGCGGCCCGGCCGCGGCCGTGTTGCCGCTTTTCAACACGCCAAGTGTGACGTATTAAAAATAAAATGGGGATTTTTATTCTGGGCTTTTTTGTTTTTATTTATTTTCTTAAGAACGACTTTAAATTTTTCAATTTTATTTTATTGAAATGTTTTACTGGTTGCCTGGTTTTTATTAAATATTAAAATTATTTTTTCTTGGAAATATTATTTAAAATGGTAAAGGTGTGGATCCGGTGGCTGACCTTGAAGCCCATATTTGCTGCTTTTGATCATCGATACTACGCAAGCGCACATCGTCGTTGTTGCCAAATTGCAGTTTATTTTCGAATTATTTGCAGTTGAAATTTTTTTTTTGCGTGTTAATCAATAATAATACAAATTCTATAATTAATTTTATAATTTCAGATTTATCTTGATATCCAAAATTAAGGTAAGAAGAATAATGAAGATTGTGAAATGAAAGTATTATGAATATATAAAATTGTAATAATAATAACATTTATTTATATACCTATTTACATTAGAATTAAAATTTATCATTTACGAATTTTTTCGTAATGGTTTTAAACTTATTAGAATTATTTTATTTCTTTTCATTAAAAGTTATTTAATTTCTAGTTATTTACAGGCAACAATAGTTTTGATTATATGTATTGATGTTTTGAAGTACTACCATGACGGGTCTTATTATAGAACAATAAACGTCAATCGGAGATAAAGGTAACATTTTACCTATTATATAATGTTACTAATATAATATACTTTGATTATAATTAATGTTTTTATCATAATTTCTTAAAATATCAAGTTAGTGGATTTTATCGAAGAGTGTGTTGATAAGCAGTGGCGGATACAGGGGGAGGCCCATGGAGCCCGGGCCCCTAAAGTCTGTGAATTGTGTAAAATATTAGGCTTTTGTGTTAAAAATGGCGCCCTAAAACCATATTCTACATTGCTTTTCATTTTGGGCCCCCTAAAATAAATTCCTGTATCCGCCCCTGTTGATAAGACTAAAATAAGCTTTATGTTTTATCTTTTTCTTTTTAGAAGGGAGATGGTTTGTATCGTAGAATACATTACAGTATTTAATATCGTGTACTTTCATATTCTTTTCTTAATTTACTGTAATTTCTTGTTTCCTATAATGCCAAATCTTGACAATATGGTGAAGGTTGAGTTTTGATCTTATTAGTTTTATAAGAATAATAATAATAATAGAAATACAAGACTAAATTAAGACTTAGTTTGTGATTTATATTAAGATCTTTCTTATAATATTTGTTATGTCTTCATCTTAATACTATATTATGCTTGGTCTGGAAAATAAATGTTAAAATATCTTAATTTTGCATATCCTATTCATCCTTCCATTAGGAAAAATATGGTTTATAAATCATATATGCTAAGAAAATCACATAAATTAGGTGTAAGAATAGAGAAATCTTAATGTAGCAGAAAAATTAATGCAATATATGTATAAGCAGAATTAAACAAGGTAACTGTTAATGTTGCTAAAGCTGATTCTACAATTTTAATTACGGAGGCTAAAAGGCCCTTTAAGGCCTCCGTAGTTTTGATGGAATGTTAAAAAAAATCTATTATGAACATGACATGGAGCTACAGCATTTAAAAATTAAAAAAAAAAGAAAAAACTTGGACACATCCCTTGTAATTTCCCGAATTTTTAATAAAGCACTTTTTAAACGTAGCATAATAAATGAATGAAAAAAAAATAGCGTCAGCAATGACTATGAAATGAAGATCGCTGTCATTTTATGAAAATGTCCTCAATCGTCATTTCCCAGCCAACTGGACGCCGTTTTTTCGATCATACGGTATATATTGACAAAAAAAACACTGAAAAGCACATATTTGTTTTCTACTGAAAATAATTCCAAAATAACTCGCAATTTGGCAACATCGAAGATGTGCGCATGCGTAGTGTCTGTGACTATATGCAACAAAAACTCGTTTCAAGGTCAGCCACCGGATCCACACCATTACCTTTAAAATAGTACAGAATTCTTATGATAGAGCGGTTTAACCAGTAATAAAAATTGTAAAGTATTTTTGGTAAATTTTTATCCAAACTCTCCACGATTTTTAATGTTTTTAATGGTTGCCTACACAATGACGGGTGACGGGTGTGTTCTGCGATCTGCAATTTTGACAGCCTTTGTCAAGAAAAGCAAGAAAAGTAAATATTTGTTATAAATTCCATAAAGATTTTACTTTATTCTGTGTGATTTTACTTAATGAATCACTAAAAACAGAAATAAAATCAGACCAAGTATAAGAAATAAACTTGAAAGTATCAAGTAACAAAAAAAGCGCTGTGTGCTCTTAATATTTTTCCTTTTAGCGCGTATTGGGTTATGTGTAAAGCTGTATCAAACAATTTTTGAGATTTTTTTGAAAAAAGACCACGACAAAATGATACCTCCGCTGGCCCCAGGCCAGGCAGAAGACAAGCAAACTATGGTTAGCTGGGTGAGAATAGATTTTACACTGTTATTATATTTTCTCTAATTTTTATACATTTTTTAGAAGAATACTTTTAATATGCGTCAAGTCACACTTCTAAACATAGCGGCCACAACGTTGGGAATGAAAAACGGTGCAAAACTCACTAATCACAATCACAGAAAACAGTACAGCGTAACTAGTACAGCAAAATCATTAGACTTGCTACGTAAAAACCTACAAGCAGCTATTAACAAAGATATAGATAACATTATAAAGAAGTACATTGATGTAATAGAAAACAACATACCAAAGAAATAACAAAATAACTCAAAATAAATAATATATTTCAGAAATTTTTTCAACCTGCTATCATCAATATTCGAAACAATTTGGGCCATGACAGTGTCAACGACAATCACATGAGAGACGTTTGCAAACAGATCCTGGAAGAAGCCAAATCAATGTATACTTTAACGGCTAAGTCAAGGGAACACCCTGTGTATGAATGTAGCCAAAGTGAAGCAGACTCTGAGAATAATTTTTCGGATTTACGATATCAAAACATTGAAAGAATGGTAAGTAAATATTCTACAGGGTGTTACAATAATGTGTTGGGCATCTGTTAACTCCTATAATGAAAAATTTAGGAATTTTGTTTAAGTGCAAACATAAAGTATGTACTAGTACTTATGTGTCTCAGGAAAATCTTTTAACTTCTAGAAAGTACCTCAAAAAAATATGAGGTCATATGAGTGGAGTGGATTGAGATGAGTTTTTTAAATGGAACATCCAGTATATATTATTACATTCTTGGCTTCCTTTCTTATCACCTTCTGCAATCCTAAGATATTATTCTGTATGATTTGATAGTTTCAGATATATATTACTAAATATAAATATAAAAAATATTTTTTCAGCCTTTCTTAGAAAAATTATTAAAAATACAGGCAATGTCCTGAAATCAAAATTATAATAAGTATTTACTATACAGCAAGTTACTTTGCTATAAATATTGTAATCTTGGATCATAAAGGGCGTTCAAAATTCTAAGCCAAACTTTAAAATAAAATATTTTTTTCATGGATTTTTTTTTAAATAGAACAACCCAAGATATACAAAATTCAAACAGCTGTCAGTTTTAAATTTAGTGCAGTTCTCATTGGTTGTTTAAGTATCGCCAGCGACAGAACGAATAGTTCTGAAAACGGTGTTTAACAAAAAAATAATATTTAGGGTGTTCCATTTAAAAAAACGACAAAAAAATATTTTAGAATGTTTGGCATGGAATTTTGAACACCCTGTATGATTTAAGACTGCGATATTTATAATAAAGTAAGTACAAACCAACTAAAGTACACACCTAGCATAGTTTTGATTTCAGGATACATCCTATGTTTTAATTTTTTTGAAAGCTGAATTTTTTTTTTTCGTTTATTTATTTATAGGTATCTCTGAAATTATAAAAACAGATTTTATAAAGGACTATGCAAAGTGATCAAGAAGGAAGCAATAAAAATACAATAATATACAGGGCAGTCCATTTAAAAAAAAATTATAGCCTCACACTGTTTTGAGCTACCCTATAGAAGTTGAAATATTTTTCCCCAATTACATCCTAGTACATACTTTAGGTTTGCACTTAAACAAAATTCCTAAAAAAATTTAGGATTTTAATTACAGGAGCTACAGATGCCCGACGCACTTTTGCAGGAGCCTGTATATTATAATCTTCTGACTTATACATTCATGTGTGTCTTAAAACTTTTTTAGAGCCCTTTGTTTCAACAGCCCACAAAAAGGAAAGAAATTGACTTAGACTTAGACAATTCAGCATTGACCGTAGCTACGAAAAGACCTAAACACAGGACACTTTCAAGTTACTACAACGACAACTTAGGATGCAAGTTCTCACTGAAACGGGACGGTCCTAAATGGAACCCGGATCGAATTAAAACAGAGACTCTATTCATAATGGGTTCCCGAGCAAACAAGGTTCTAGGTTATGGACAAACTCGAGGAAGATTATATGTACGGCATCCAAATCTGTTGCGATACTGTGGAGACCAGGAGGACAAAGAATGGCTACAATCACAAAATTTACTTCCGGCTAATGGAGGCAAGATTTACATCATGCTTCTGGAAGATATCAAGGAGCTTACAGAAAGCGACGAGTACCGGAACAACCCTAACCTACAATTACAAGAATTACATGGTTTCAGAGCTCCGGAATTTCTGGCAGCTAAAATTAAAAACTATCTGGAGTATATAAGAAGCGAAAAAAAGCTGATGGCCGTGCTGGATATCGATGATAACAGTTCGGATACTCCGCCACCGAATGTAACGATTACAAATGATACAGTGGTACTACCCAGTCCAGATTCTTTGGATAATAGCGTGGAGAATATATGGAAAACGTCGCAGTTAAGGCAGCAAATCGATTATCCGAACATGTCGTCGGATATGAGCAGTCTGTCGAGTTCTGTCATTTCGAGTATATTGTCGGGAAACTATACGGGTATGAATAGTTTTAAGAATGATACGGGGTTTTAAATTTATGGTTATTTGTTACACCTTGATTTCCTATTAATTTTATTTATTTATTTTTAAATAAGAAAAAAATCTAGTCTCGAATATGTAATAACTTTATATTTATTTATGAATACTATTCAGAAAGCTTTATATAAATTTTTAAGTCTCATTCAAGTAAATAGAATACCAGTAGGGGTGAGATTATTTCTGTTATGTATGTAGATAAATCAAAACCAAATGTAAATAAATATAAGTAAGTTCTTTCTTGACATTAGGTCTGATTGGATTTTAGAAGTAATTTATTAAAAAATATATTGTTATTCGTCAGGGATGGGTCTTTGCTGGAAATTTTCAGGATTTTTTTTACGTTAAGACAAAAATATATACACTTAAAAAAACCGTAACCTGTTTTCAATATCATTACAAATATTCTTAGGTTGTCGGAAGACGTAAAAGTTTTTACACGTAGAAAAGTATTTGTTACGCGTAAGAAATATTTTCTGCGAGAAAAAAAAGTACACATAAAAATTTTTTCGCACAAAAAAAGTTTTTTAAACAAAAGTATTTTCTACGCCTAAGATAATTGTTTTGCAAGTAAAAAATAGTTTTTTGTGTATTCATTTTTAATATTCTACACGAAAGAAAATTATGCATCGAAATTATCTTTTTGCGCGAAAAAAGTATTTTCTATTTTCTACACTTAAAAAATATTTTCTACGCCTAAAAAGTTAGTTTTTTTAGGTGTATTTTTTTACTCGCTCATCCCTGGTTCAAACCAAAGAACTATTTGAAAAACCATTGTTGTAATTCACTATACAGGGTATTCCGAAAAAGCTCCATGTATTTACTATTTTAAGATTTTCCCTTATGTTGGAATCCAATTTAAATTTTTGGCGTGATTTAACTGATGAATGAAATGCTAATGGAAAAGCCACTGAACAACTTTAAGTAAAAACATATATTTGGATCACCCTGTATACGTAGGAAACTATCTATAAATTTATTATTGAGCTATTTACTTGGTCACCCCGTGTTTCAGAGCTTTTCTCTTATAGACTGATTTTAATCATTTAATAAAATAAAATCTTGAGCATTTCTTAGCTTTACCAAAGACTACAGCTTTACTGTTTTTTTATATATAGCATTTTACTTTTCTTTGAAAAATTATTAAAATGAATCTCTCTCTCTGTACCTAACAATAACACCTCAATAACCTCTGTAGCAATAACACACACAGTAGACACATTCATAAATATACTTTTATTTTCACTTTAGAATACAAATGTAAAATACACACAGTCCAAGCTTAAAAAATACACATATAATAAAGCATAAGTATAGTAAAATAGATTTTTTTTTAAATTTCTTTCAGTGCATTTTTTTTTAAAGCTTCGAGAGTCAGCAAGACCATTTTTTCTTCAAATTATCAGCCAGTTTATCGATAAACTCGAATGTTTCCAAATAGTCAGACCGTTGCACTTTGCTCATTCCCTTAATACATATCGCCAAATCCTTAGTCATGAATCCAGACTCGATAGTCTCGATACAAACCTCTTCCAGAGTGTTGGCGAATTTTGTTAGATCCGCGTTATCGTCCAGTTTAGCTCTGTGCAAAAGCCCTTAAAAAATACCAATACCGAAATTATTTGAGAAAAAAAAACGGCATCATAGTAGCCTTTGACACGATCATCCTTTCAAGGGTTACCATGACGTCGTTTTTTATAAATAAATACCTCTGGTCCAAGCGAAAATCGAAGCGATCGGATTGGTCGAAGTCTCTTTTCCTTGCTGATACATCCTGTAATGGCGAGTGACCGTTCCATGGGCTGCTTCGGCCTCTACGGTCTTGCCGTCGGGGGAAATTAATACTGACGTCATCAGGCCCAAAGAGCCGTAACCTTGAGCAACTGAGTCGCTCTAAAAAGTTAGAAAATGAAAAAAATAAAATAAAAAATTCAAATCAAATACAAAAAAACTACAGAAAAAAATATAGAACTAAAGACGATATCAAAAAAATAAATACTAATATAAAAAACAACAAACCTGGATAAAAGTAAATAATAAAAATATATAAAAATATAAAAAAAAAATCTAAAATTGAGAAAATTTAAATGGATAAAAAATAATGAAAGATAAAAATCTATGAAAGAAAAAAAGATAAAAATAAAGATATTTTACCAACCTGTACGTCGCCATCGTAGTTCTTACATGCCCATACAAAACCTCCTTCGGATTTCATAGCATAGGCAACCATGTCATCAATCAACCTATGCTCATACCATATACCTTTGGCTTCGTACTGAGGCTTGTATTCTCTCTCATAAATATCCTATAATACAAAATAATATTTGAAAAACTGGCTATAATCAAAAAATCGATCTGTGAATGATCGAAAAAAACAGCGTGAGAGTAGCCAATGAAATGACAATCAATGATAATTTCTATCAGTCCAACAACTGTAACTCTTCCATTTACATAGTTATTAATTTTTAACCAGTTTTAATGTCATTTCTCATAAAAGAGATGGCAATACTGGCCAGAAATTAGCATCAATTGTCATTTCAAAGGCTCCTATGATACTTTTTTTCCGATTTTATGGTCTATGTTAACATATGAAAACTTGTTAAAACAATGTAACTGGTTAGTGTGTACCTGGAAAATATCCTTGAATCTTCCATCATATTTCTTCAAAATTGTATTTTTTGTGCTTAGATACAAGGGGTAGCCTCTGTCAAGGGCGTATTTGAAGGACGAATGAGCAAAAGCAATGATGGACTCATCAGTGTTGAACATTCCTTAAAAAAATGTTTTTTTCAATACCATCATACACATATTTTTTTATAATGATTTGCATAACATTACCCTGTCTTGAGAAAGCTTTAAATCTGTCGAAAATGTAGTTTTAAAAATGTAATATTTCAAACAAGTGAACTATTTACAATTTTAACATATAAATATATTTTAATTACTCTGTATACAGGGCCCGGCAATAGTGCGTCGGGCATCTGTAGCTCCTAGAATAAAAAACTTGAGAATTTTGTTTAAGTGCAAACCTAAAGTATGTACCAGGATGTATTTCAGGAAAATATTTCTATAGGGTGGCTCAAAAAAGTGTGAATGGATCTGGATGATTTTTTTTAAATGGGACACCCTGTATATTATTGCATTTTTGGCTTCTTTTCAGATCACTTTACAAAACCCTAAGATATGAATAAATATATTTCGATAGTTTCAGAGATATTAAAAAATAAATAAAAAATATATATTTTTTAGCCCTTCTTAAAAAAATTATTGAAAATACAAGAACTGTCCTGAAATCAAAACTATATTAGGTATTTACTTTAGATGGTCTGTACTTACTTTGCTATAATTATGGAAATCGTAAATCATACAAGATGTTCAAAATTCTACGCCAAACTTTCTAAAATATAAAATAACTTTTCTTCGTTTTTTTAAATGGTTGTGACAGAACACCCTGTATACTATTTTTTCAATAGATGGAGAATTAAAAAATAAACATGTTTTGTATTTAGAGTATTTCAAAATTTTTAACGGTTTCGCAGATATTCGCGGTTTTATATTTCATATGGCATTTTCCACAATAAATTTTTATCAACCCAATAATATTTCTCTCGTATTTTACCACTGAACGCGCCATATGAAATAATACGGCGTGTATCTGCAAAACTATTAAAAATTTTGAAATACTTTAAATACAAAAAATGTTCATTTTTTAACTCTCCATATAATAAAAAAATAATATACAGGGTGTTATATTTAAAAAAAAAACAAAGAAAAGATATTTTATATTTTAGAAAGTTTGGCGTAGAATTTTGAACATCCTGTATGATTTACGATTTCCATAATTATAGCAAAGTAAGTACAGATCATCTAAAGTAAATACCTAATATAGTTTTGATTTCAGGACAGTTCTTGTATTTTTAATAATTTTTTTAAGAAGGGCTGAAAAATATATATTTTTTATTTATTTTTTAATATCTCTGAAACTATCGAAATATATTTATTCATATCTTAGGGTTTTGTAAAGTGATCTGAAAGGAAGCCAAAAATGCAATAATATACAGGGTGTTCCATTTAAAAAAAATCATCCAGGTCCACTCACACTTTTTTGAGCCACCCTATAGAAGTTGAAATATTTTCCTGAAATATATCTTGGTACACACTTTAGGTTTGCACTTAAACAAAACTTCCAAATTTTTTTTTCTAGGAGCTACAGATGCCCGACGCACTATTGCCGGACCCTGTACCTGCAAAAAATATTTCTAAAATACGTAATAAAGAGAAAATATGAGTTAGGAAATAATAAGATTTTTTTTAAACTCTGAGTCACACTGTATACTATCTAAAGTAGTTCACCCTGTATAGAGCAATGAAAGTTGGAAATTTATTTAATGTTTATATGTACTTGAATCATTAGATTATTGTCTCTAACACAGTTAAAATACGTATATTTATTAAATTTTTTTATTTAAGTTCAATGAATTAAAAAATAGGGATATGTAGAGGCTGTGGTAGAGGTTAGCTGACTTATTTTTCTTCAATTATTGTTAAATGAGGAAAACTAACATAATTAATTATAAATATTGAAGTATTTCATTATAAACTATAACAAACTGTTCCAAGGTTGAAAAACAACAACATATATCGTTGTAAATTGAATAAATAATGTATTTTAAGTTCTTTAACATTAAAATCAACTGCAATCGCTGGAATCATTAATATGCGCTCAAGGTTCATGCATTCAAGTTCTTGACGGATTTAATTTACAAACAAATTTAATAAATATTTCAGCATTAAATACTACAAAATTGTCTCTTGTAAAAAAATGACTTTGAAATATATTTTAGGAACTTTATACCAAATAATACAAATATTTGTTCTTTTTTCATAAAAAAAACAGGATTAAAAATCCAAGGATACAGATTTTTCACTATATACTTCAAATCAAAATAATTATCTTATCAGATTAAAAAACTTTTAAAAATGTCTATAGTTTATTTAATAACTGCAGCAAGCAACATATTTTTTTTATTTCTTACATATTACTACTGAAGTGTTTATCTAGCCTGAAAAACGTTTTTATGTATTCATAATGTTGATATCACTTCTTTTATAACAGTATTTGTACTCTATACTGTTAGTAAATACTTAGATATCAGTTTAATGTGAACATGTAAAAGATAAGAGAAAATGCAATTAATGAAAGTATAAACTAATAAACAAGGCTTCCCAAATACTGTAGGTGTAAAATTTATATTTTATGTAGTAATTAGTAATTATTATTCAGAAAAAAAACTTACCCATTGCCACTCCAGGGCCTTTATACTGATGAACAACATGTGTGATTTTTTTACCATCGACACCTTCAAATATTAATTCTAGTTTACCAGCACCAGGTACTACAAAATCAGTGGCTTTATACTGATCGGCATGTGCATGTCTTCCGATAATAATAGGCTTCTCCCAGCCAGTAACCAAACGAGGAATATTTTTGCAAATTATTGCTTCCCTAAATACTGTACCCCCTAAAAAAATAATAAAAATATAGTTAAAGTCATATTTTATATTGAAATATTAAAGTTACCTAAAATATTCCTAATAGTTCCATTTGGTGACTTCCACATTTGCTTCAGGTTAAATTCTTCAACTCGTTTTTCATCGGGTGTAATGGTGGCACATTTAATACCTACATTATATTTTTTTACGGCTTCTGCACAATCTATAGTAACCTAAGGCAAATAATTACACAATTACTACATAAATATTGCATCACTGTTTAATTAGTAGGAAGTAGAAATAACTTAAATAGTTTAAATAAAAATGTTTAAATAAATTTCGATTCAAAATGTTATGTGTAACTTTAATTTGACTGAAAATTTTGATTTTAGAAAAACTAATTTTATCAAGATCTAGACACCTGGAATTTAAAGAATCACCATTTTCTTACCTGATCACTAGTTTTGTCCCTGTATTCTATTCCCAAGTCATAGACTTTAAGATCGATATCTAAATATGGCAAAATAAGCTTCTCCTTTATAGCATCCCATATAATACGAGTCATTTCATCTCCCAGGATGTCTACAACGGTTCCTGCCTTGACTTTACCCATTTTCTTCAGTTTGTTCTTATTAAATACGAATACAAGAAAATTTGTTACACAATTTAAAAAGTTTTACCACTTTAAACTTATACTAAACGATTATTTTTACACAAAACGGTCTCGTTGGACTATGGACTAAGAATACAATTGTGTCGGTTTGGAAAAATAAATAATGTTTTCACTTTTCACCTTCTACTTATTTAAATTATAGGATTTTTTTAGAATTTAAAGGAGGGGAGTAAAGAGAAGATAAGACTCAATCCATAGATATTTTGTTGTTGACATTTAACACGCTGGCTTAAATGTTGCCATAGTTCTCTTCTAAAATATTTTGCTGTGAAATAAATCAAAAATAAAAGAAATACGGGAATGGGTAAAAGGATTTTAAAAGCAAATTATAATGTAATAATTTCTGTAAAGTTTATTTAGTAAGATGATAAATTAAAAATTATTGTAGAGGATGATTTCTTGTGGCAACACTGTACGAGTTTTTGACCGCGATTAATTTGTTTTTAAAAACATTTTTCAAAAACTTGTGGGGATTCTGTTTTGGAAATCCGGCGATAAATATTAATTATTGATGATTAAAACGGGTAAACAATATTGATTAGACTGTTATGACCACATATAAGCATCCAGTTATTTAAAATATATAAAAATAAATTTAGGCATGTGTATTCTTATCAAAATATTTTAATTCAGAAATATAAAAACCTTATAATTAATATAAACATAATAAATTAAATATAAATAAATATCTTCTTGTTATCACTTGTAAATTTCGTGTTTAGAATGCAGCAAATATTTTTTCTACACACTCTCAATATAAATATTTTACTACAAATTAACATAACATGATTCAGAGTTTTTGTTACAATGAGGATATTCCTTAATTACACCTAGTTTTTCATTTTCTTCATTAATACAAGCACACCTGTATGTTTTAGATCCTGGTTCATAGTACTGTCTGGGTTTTCCAGTCCATGATCTTTGTATACCACCACTAAAAATATAATTAAACTATATACCCGACTATTAAGATTTACTTAATGTGTACCTTCGTGTTGTACACCATACTCTACTGCCTTTTTCTGCACTCCATTCTATATTGCAAGGAGGGAATTGAATTTTCTCAAGCTGACTATTTTTTTCAACATCTTCAGCCTCAAGAATAAGTTTTTTAATTTGTTTTGCATAAGGTGTGAGTTCACCAAGTTCATTATAATACCTTCCAACAAGCTTGCCCACTTCTTGGTAGTCTTTACTGTAAAATTTTAACCAGTTATTAAGAGACTGTAATTCTTGCAGACTTAGACCACCTACATCATCACTCGCATCGTTATCATTAAATTTTCCAGTTACAAAACTTCTTGAAGCGTCTTTTCCTAAAAATACAGCAACAATACTGTTAAAATGATTGGAATAATGCTTGCAATACTAACCAACAAAGAAATTATATTGTTTCCCAACTCCGTAATGCTTCTTTCCTTCTGTAACATTAAAGATGATTCCAAGAATTGATAAATACAGAAATGGTTGGTGAACTCCATCGTATTGAGACAGTTCTTCAGCAGTAAGTAAAACATATTTCTTTTTTTCATTTTTTCTTTGGTTAACTATTGATAAATTTATATCACTCAAATATAGCGCTAGCAACGCCCCAAAAATAGCCAATATACCTACAGATTTCCACATTTAATACTTGTTTCCACACTGTTTAAATTGGTATAATATCGATTATTTAAAATTAACAATTACTGAATTAACAAGTATTTGAATTCGTTTGAATTCTTTAAAAATGAAAAACATAATAAAATAATAAATCTGCTGTATTACTGGTTATCTAACTACCAGGACTGATTTGTTAAATCAGGGTTGTCCAGCTGTTTTAAAAGACATATCGATAAATTTAAGATATCGATATGTCGTCGCCATTCTTATCACGGCCACGACTTTTGGGTTTGGCAAAAATATTTTAGGTTAGAAATACTTGATTAGAAAAATAAAATGAATCAAAATGAAAATACACACAATAGCGTCGAAATAGATCCCGATTATGAGAGCACCAACACAGCTATTCGGAACGTAGAACTAAAGGAAGAGGAAGGTAGTGTATTTCAGACATAAAAAAATACAATTTCTTTATTTTTATTTACATTTAATGTGGAGTCAAAACAAACAACTAATCAATGTATTTTTAGATAATCAGCTAACAGTAGATAAGATTAAGAAACTGTTACAAGAAGAATTCGACCACGAATTACAAGAGCGCCAAAAACAACTAGAGGAAATTGAAGAGAAAATATTTAAAGCTAGGAAACTGTTACACGTTGTACGATACGTACTTATTTCGTCCTATTACAATAACAAAGCCTTAGAACATGAAAAGGACGGTACAGCTTCTCTGGAGTACTCTAATATTTTGTCTGGTCAAAATAGGATACATCCAGCAATTAAGAAACTGCTAGGAACAAATGTAAATAATTTCAAATTCTTAGATGGCCGTACCAAACGTAAAATACCACCGAAAAATGATCATACCATCGCCGAAGAACCTGAGGTTAAGAAAATAAAGTTAGATGTAGTTAGTGTACCTGAAAAAGTTGAAATAGCACCACCTGTTAAGGCTGAACCTTCAGTAGTAGAGTCAAAGTTACAAGAAGTAGCGACCCAGCGCATGAAAGTGCAACACAAGATTGTTATAGGAAATATTTCCTATTTTAAAAAGTCATTGGAACAGGATAATTTAACTCACAAATGGATGGTGTATGTTAAAATATTTAGAGGCACAAAACAGGGACCTGAAGTCTCTGAATCGATGATAAGTAAAGTGTTTTTTTGTTTGCATCCTTCCTATAAGCCTCATGATGTTGTAGAAGTCTGGTAAGTTAATATTTTAAACATTTATTTAAAAAAATAAAAATATTAATCTTTTTGATAGCAATCCGCCTTTCCATTTATCTCGAAGGGGTTGGGGAGAATTTCCTTTGAGGGTGAAGATATTTTTTAAATCACCACGTAATAAACCAGTTGACATAATACATAAGTTGAAATTAGACAAGACTTTTACAGAAAGGCAAACATTAGGTGTGTATAGTAACTTAAACAGAATGTCTTTTCTGTCCAGTAAAAGGATATACACATTTGTATGTTGTGAGATTTGTGATAAACCAATACTTCCTAAAGTATTGAGGCTTTTGATCTAATGTGTGACGTCATTACAGTAGTCGGTACAAATTTAGATTTTATTAACTACCTATAGATATTTTGTTTCATGTTAACTTGATGTAGGATCTATTTTTTGATAAAAGAAAATTATTTTTTGTCTGTAGTTATACCGGGTGCGTCTCAAAAGTGGCTCACCCCCTGTATCTTTTTTATTTTTTCAGATAATATAAAACAGATTTGGTATGTTAGTATATGACGTAAATTGAGATTGATTGACATATTCAACTGTTTTTGGTCACTTCCTGTTTCACCGGAAGTGACTACAACTTTTTTTTAAGCGGCACCCTCGGTATATTTCTACTCTATTCAATATAAAATGACACTCTGAATAGAATGGTATATCATATGTCAACTTTTGACATATTTCCATATGATTTATTTTAAATTGTATCATGCGGTTCATAACGACAGTTTGACTCGAAATACCAAATGTGTGGTAACAAATTATTCGTAAAAAAATGCTTTTTCCAAATATGCTAATGAGCCGATTTGGTCATCTTTTAACTGGCCAGGATAAGACACGAAAAACATTAGAACTATTACATGAAAACTATTTTTCAAGGCTCTCTGATTAAAAATTAGTGTTTTTAACCCAGCCATGGCACTCTAGATTGAAATATAAAATACGATTTGTTTTTAAACGAAAATGTCAAAAGTTGACATATGATATGTCATTCTATTCAGAGTGTCGTTTTCTATCGAATAAAGTAGAAATATACCGAGGGTGCCGTTTAAAAATCAAAAGTTGTAGTCATTTCCGGTGAAACAGGAAGTGACCAAAAACAATTGAATACGTCAGTCAATCCTAATTTACGTCATATACTAACATGCCAAATCGCGTTTTTTTATTTGAAATAATAAAAAAGTTATAGGGGGTGAGCCACTTTCGAGACGCACCCGGTATAACATGTATAGTCTGTTCAGTAAAAGAATATACTAAAGGTTAGTTTTGGTTCGAGATTCGTTTGGGTCGAGAATATAATGTCGAGATACAATGAATTTCAGTACCAATACCTCCGAAAATACTGAGGCCTTTGCTCTAACTCGTGACGTCATTACAGTAGTCAGTGCAAGCTTGAGCTTATATAGTTAATAAGCTCCAAATAATGTTCTCTTGCTGGAGAGAGTATAGTTTATATATTATAGTATATTTGTTTTTTTTTTAATTAACCTACATGGATCTATTTCTTGGTAAAAGAATAGTATTTTGTAGTAAATATGAATAAATATTTTTTAGGGAATGAAACAATTGAAACTGTATTTCTCTATGACGATCATCCTGTAAAAGAATTGAACAGTATTATTATTCTGCAAGATAATAGTGCAGAGTGTTTAAAACAGGAGGCTTCAACCAGTTCGGAACACGATTATTGTTATGAGAGTGTAAATTCTAACAAAACTGCGGAAGTTAAGCTTAATAATAATAATAATAATGTGAAGGATCATTCTTACAGCATGCCTAGTGCGAAAGACAGCCAGAAAGTTGGTGTAAAAAAGCAAAAATCCCCAATAAAACAGCCCTATAACGAACTGATTTATGGTTTGGGGCCCAATTATTTGGATCCAAATAAGTCAAAATCGAGAAGAGTTAGGTCAAAAATTAATAATTCTCCAGAAAAGGTAAGTTTAAAAAGAAATTTCATGTAGATAGGGTAATCCAAATTAAATTAATTTTGAATAAATGTATCTTCTAAGAATGCTTCTTACAGAGTGTAGAAGTTTTATTTTTATTTCGATTTTTTCCAAATAATTTCTGAACTAAGGTCGATATTTCCATAAATATTGGTGTCAGGGTGTTTTTTGACTTGAGAAATTTGATTTCAAGGTCAATATGACTACTTTTAGGGGGTACCACCTACATGTTTTTTAACTGTTTTGAAGAGTAATAACTTTTCGTCCATACCTGTATAAAATTTATTTTATAATTTATTCTATACCTGTATAAAATTTAATATTAAAATGTGTTTATTTTTACCTTTATATTTATGATTTTAGGATCCGAAAAACGTTTTTAAAGTGTTGAAAACTGTGACCGGACAATCAATCAAATTCCTACCGGAGAGTTTTAGTCAAATATTGCTCGGAAATGGCAACGTTGTATCCGTTAAATTTCTCAAACAGCAACCAGCTTCTTCGACGAATAATCGACAAATCGATGGTCAAAATATTGTACGGCACATGATCGACCAAGAAAAATACATGTTACAGATTCCCAACCTTCATTTTAAGTGCATGGGAGAAGCTTTACCTTACTTGTTTAAAAGAATACCGTTGTGGGCACAGGATGCCACAGATTCGAAGTATAAATCCGTGTATCCTTTTATGGCATGTTCGCAGAAAGAATATCAATCGTGGAACGTAGGAAAAAGATTGTCATCTGAGGTAAGTATTTTTTTATTTATTTAAAAAAAAATATATTAAATGATACATTTTTTTCAGTGGTCTAGAGCTAAAGCAATAAAAAGAATATTGTCTAGCGAAACGTATAGTAAAAATTGGTCAACAAAAGCCATTTTTATGTATGGTAGGTCGCATTTGTACACGCCAACGGTGCCAAGTTACAAACTTTTCAGAAATGAATCTCCCGAAAAACGGTTAATTTTGAACTGCTTCGAATCAGATACGCAGAATGGGTATCCCGATTTAGCGCCAGTACAAATCAAGGAAGAGAACGTTAATATTATATCACCAGAAAAAGGTATGTTGACGTTTTTTATAAGCATTATATTCATAATTGTGAACATGGGATTTATATTTTTCTTAATCCCATGTTCAAGGGTTATGAACATAGGGTTTATGGCTATTGTAAATCCTATGTTCGAAATTGTGATCATAGCCTTTATGTTAATAGGAAATTCTATGTTCAGAATTCTTTTTTACAAAATTTGCAAGTGATTTCTGTCTTTTATAATGCAGCATATTATTATAAACTCTATATTCACGATTGTAAACATAAGCTTTCTAAGCTAGAAAATTTATGTTTACAATTGAGTGTTATAAGTAAATTCTGTCATAAATTTATGAACATACAATTCATAGATTAAAAACTCGTTGTTCAACATTATGAACATAGGATTTATAACAGTTCTAAGTTCTATGTTAACAATTTTGAACGTTGAGTTCTCATCCTGTTCTCACCCTAAAATAAACCCTATGTTCACAATTATGATCACAGGATTTCTAAGTAGAATAGAATAGAACATAAATATGAACATTGAGTTTACTGCTTTTTATGAATGTGACAAGTTATGACGTATTTCATAACTTGTCAACTTTGTGAACATAGGGTTTAGAAGTTATAAATAATTGAACTTGTATCATTGATAGGGTTTATAAGAGGGTTTATAAGTTATAAACCCTATATTCAAAATTGGTGAACATAGGGTTTTTAACAATCATATATTATAACAGTTCTAAGTTCTATGTTCACAATTTTGAACGTTGAGTTCTCATCCTGTTCTCACCCTAAAATAAACCCTATGTTCACAATTATGATCACAGGATTTCTAAGTAGAATAGAATAGAACATAAATATGAACATTGAGTTTACTGCTTTTTATGAATGTGACAAGTTATGACGTATTTCATAACTTGTCAACTTTGTGAACATAGGGTTTAGAAGTTATAAATAATTGAACTTGTATCATTGATAGGGTTTATAAGAGGGTTTATAAGTTATAAACCCTATATTCAAAATTGGTGAACATAGGGTTTTTAACAATCATAAACATTGTACAACAGTTTTAAACCATATGTTCGTAATTTTAAACATCGAGTCCTCATCCTATGTTCTCTATTATAAGCCCTACGTTCACACAAACCACTCTATTTTTAGTGATACCTGAACCAAACACGGTACGAAAAAGTTATGTGGACGGTTCTAACAAATCCTTAGCACAAGAATGCGCCTACGTTAAAGAGACGGCCCTAGATGTGGGAATAATACTAAAAAGCGAAGAATTAGTTCCTGGAGTACTAACAAACGCGTCGGAAAGGGTACTTTTAGAAGCCGTAAAGTGTTTCGCCGAGAATCTCATAAGGAGATCTCAAAATTTTCTAATCTGCGATGGAGACTATAGGTAAGGTTTCACGACAGAAAAAAAACTGTCATGTAAGACTTCAATTTTTAGAGAATCCAACGCTGTTATAACGACTGACGAAGTAAGAAGAGCCTTAGATGAAAGGAAAGAATTCCAAACAATTACAAAGTTCCGAGAAAGCAAAATGACTATGGACTTTTTTTCTTAGTTTTCTCAAAAAAAAAAAAAATATATATATATATATATATATATATATATATATATATATATATATATATATATATATATATATATATATATATATATATATTTATATCAAACATATAATTCTAGAGTTTTTATCCTAACCAAAGAAAGAAGTTTCATTTTCTTGATGTTGGCACCATTTTTGAGGTTATAGTCTCTGTCAGTCGACAGAATATATTTATGAATATATGACTTTCGCTGGACAATTTAAGTTTATATTGAGAAGTTGATACTATTATTTATGAGGTTGTAAATATATTTAAAATTATCTTTTCGATGTTAAATTAATCTACTGATTTTTTATGTTATAAATTCTTTTAAGTCGCTGTGATAAAGATTCGTAGAAAAAGGTTATATATTCGGTAGGTATACGAGATTCGTCCTGTATATAATAAAATTTACTTTTTTTAAAATAAATGTTTGTATATATACAATAATTAAAAGTAACCGGAATCACCTAGGAATATTATACAATTTTTAATTATCAAATAAAGATATTTTTATAACGAGAATCCTTATTGAATTTTTTACCTTATTATACCGGCATTTTTGTCTTAATAGACTTATTATACAGGTTAACTGGACAGTTACTTATAGGGGAACAGAATGGCAACCCTTGCCTATTGAGAACGCATGCACTTATAGGGTTTTCTGCCGACTCGTCCCGTCGTCCGCCGACGAGCGGGTTGAGGTTTTATATAATATAAAATATATATTAACAACCTGTATAGAGTGTCTCAGAAAATATGTGCCATATCTCGTGGGGAGATGCCTCATGTAAAAATAAGATTTATTTTTCATATCAACATAGGTCCGATTCTGCTTCGTTTCCAAAGAGGTTAGTAACTTTTTTTTATTAATTTCTTCCAAATTCTTTCAGCTATACGAATGAAATTTTGAGGATAACAGTTACTTTAAAGGTGCGTATTCACTTGCAACAAAACATTCCGAACAAACCAAACGCGCCGCGCACTCCAAACAATCTGCAACAAAACATTTTCCGGGAGCGCTCTGAACGACCTGCAACAAAACATTTTGCGCGGAGCGTTCCGCCTGTTTGCGATGTTCGCTGCGTTCCTACCAGTAATCAGTGTGTGAATCAGTGTTAGTGTGTTTGTCGATAAGGATGCATCTGACATTACCATAGCCGCTAGGACGAAAAATGTGGGCAAGAGGGCAAGACGCCTCTTTTTGCGCCGTCAATATAATATGGCCTTACTTAGTGACCTAGATTATATGCATAAGAAGAATTTAATTAATTTAATAATTAATGATTAATTTAATAAAATAGGCCGCCTTTCAAACTCATCAATTAAGTCTAAACACTTTTCTCTGTTCCACTCCGTAGCTAGGTACAGTTTAAAAACACCCCAAACACGACGAACGTTCAAAACTGCCGTATCCACTGAACACCGGCCAACGAACAAATTCTTTTGAGCAAACCCGTTTACCGACAAGCTTCGGAAAATGTTTGGCGCGTTCGGTTCGGTTCGGTGCAACGTACTAAAGTAAACGCCACAAATGTTTGGGAGTGATTCATCGGTCGCTACCATGTGAACTAATCTGTTCAAGGTCACATAAAACTTAATTCCAGTACCGTGGTGTTTCAAGTCATATAATAATCAATATATAATCTGTTGTAATTTGTTGTTTTAGCTGTCAAAGTCTTGTCAAAACATATATTTGGTTATAAATATAAACTGGAATGCCCCATTGGTCGCACTGCAAGCACACCAATGGACTGACGCACAAAAACGAATCAATCAAAGAAACACGATATAGTACGTATCGTCTGTCATTCACGCTAACATTTTAGAATAAGTAGGAGCGCAGGTAGATGATTAGACCGGGCCTTTAAAAACCTACGTCTGCGGTAAAAATTTACGTTTTTAATGTAAAAATGATAGCGCGCGTGTCGATTCTAACTTTATCATGCGATGAATCACTCCCAAACATTCGTGGCGTTTACTATAACTACACAAACTTGTTACAGCGCGCGCGGCGCGTTTGGTTCGTTCGGAGTGTTTTGTTGCAAGTGAATACCCACCTTAAGAACTACATATTTTAATGAAAAAAGAATCGCCATATTCACGATGAACGTACATATGGGTTATCACTGGAATATTTTTCTAAAAAAATATGTGCGCCACTGTCAGCAGAATTATGTAGGCCGTTTAATGCCGATTTAAAAGTTGTATTTTGATATTTTATCGATTTCGATCTTCTTGAGATTTTATTAATCACAATAAAATTAATAAATTATTCATTTAATCAAATTTATTCTTTCCTCCTGTAGAAACAAAGCCGAATCGGACAAATGTTGATATGAAAAATATATCTTATTTTTACGTGAAGAATATCCCCTCTAGAGATGGCACGTTTTTTTGAAACACCCTGTATAGGTAATTTTAAAGCCACTTAGTGCGGCGTTACACGGTCCGTTTTTGCAGGTTCCGCACTGCGGATCCCGTTTTGCGGTATGGCAATATCGCATGAGATGGCATGGCAGATGTAACACCATCCGTTTTTGCGGGATGTGCGGCGACGTGCTGCCGCAATGCAGGATTGCGGGAACCTTGGTGACATGATACAGTCAGTTGAATGTAAACTGTGGCACGGTACGTTTCTGCGGTATGCCGCTTTGATCGCGAAAAGCAAAATATGTTCGATACGGACCAATTTATCGAGCTAATTCGTGGGCTACCTGCCCCTTGGGACAAACCAAACCCTGAATATTCCAACAAAGATGCACGACAAAGGGCATGGGTGAATGCACTAAGTGCGGCGTTACACGGTCCGTTTTTGCGGCATCCCGTTTTGCAGGATGCCGCAGAAACGGATCGTGGCCTCCAATTATACGATCCTGCAAAAATTGGTTTGGTTTGGTTCGGGACCTTCGTGCAGCTACTACGCACATTTTGATATTGTGTGGCAGAGGCGAAGGGACTATGTCCCTTTCAAAATTAAACATTGTTTTATTACTTGAAGCTAAAAATTTATTACGAGAGCCGAAATGCCGTAAAACCTGGGTTCATCCTTTTAATTCCGAAAGCGAAAGAAGACGAAGATTTGAAAATTTTATTCTAAAATTCGAAAGTACAATGATAAATTCTTTGGCTACTATCGGATGTCTCAAAAATCTTTTGATGTATTGAGACCCAGCATCACGAAACAAAACACGACAATGAGGATTCAACCATGCCCTTTGTCGTGCATCTTTGTTGGAATATTCAGGGTTTGATTTGTCCCAAGGGGCAGGTAGCCCACGAATTAGCTCGATAATTTGGTCCATATCAAACATATTTTGCTTTTCGCGATCAAAGCGGCATACCGCAGAAACGTACCGTGCTACAGTTTACATTCAACTGACTGTGTCGTCACCAAGGTTCCCGCAATCCTGTATTGCGGCAGCATGTCGCCGCACATCCCGCAAAAACGAATGGTGTTACATCTGCCATGCCATCTCATGCGATATTGCCATACTGCAAAACGGGATCCGCAGTGCGGAACCTGCAAAAACGGACCGTGTAACGCCGCACTTATTCCATATATCAATAGGTATCGACATGTCGGAAAAAATACCATCCCTAGGAGAGACAATAGTATAGTGCATATGCATAGTCTTTTGAGAAAATAAATAAACAATTATTTCGTTTTAGATTTATTTTAAATAAATAAACAACATAAAAGATTTACGAGTAAACATCCTACATTATGTCTTCTGAAAAAAAATCAAGATGCTCTATTACAGTAAAAAGGAAAAATCAAAACGAATACAGTTCTCTAAGTCACATTAATTTTTCTTTTTAGTTTAAATTTTTAAACATCTAATAGTTTTTTTTCACATAACTCCAGTTACTCGTCTATACTTTTTCTGTTTTCGTTTGTTTTTAAGTAAAAAGATAAGAATCCGCATTAAGATAAAACCGAAAGAGGGAAAAAATCTTAAGACATACGTTTTTTAACCTTTAAATACTAAAATTAAAAACTTACACATTATTACAGTACATTGTTTTAAAAGAATAGAGAAAAAAAAAGATAAAAATTAATATTAATGCATATATTATTATAGACCTCCTGATATTTAAACGTAACTTTTTTCTATGTAAGACTAATCACAAGTTAAAAGTTTATAAAAAAAACAATACTACAAAATAATACATAGGCGATTAGAGAAAGTTTAAACATCAGGAGTTTTTAGAAATAGATTTATATAGATTATTTTAAAGATAATAAGTTATGAAAGAAACTAAAATGAACTGGAACAAGGGAAGGAAATACGATCTAAATATAAGTGCACGTTTTTTTAATTTTTTTTTCATTCTTGTAAGATTGGATCACAAATATATGAAAGAATCTTGATTAAATAGTTTTTTTTCCTAATATCGTACCCTTCTTGTATCCACTAACAATAACTATCTGTGCGATAATGTATTTAATAGTGGTACTAGACAGGGCACTCGAAAAAAAAACAGAAATACCTACGTTATATTACAAAAATTTACACAATAATTTAAGAATCATTTTGTTTTATTATTATTAAACATTATTATAATTACGAATCAATCGATAATAAGAAAAGTATCTGTTGTAAAATAAATAACGATTTAAAGTTATTCACGTAATTTTTGGCCCGGCCACGCCCAACTTTTTTGCGCAAGCGCAACGCGACGCTCCTCAACGGTGACGCGCGTGTGATAGAAGAGAAGTGTGTGTGGTAGGTTGATGTTGTTTTGTTGTTGATGTTGTTATAATGTTGTTTGACGGGCCGAGGTGAAACAATGGAAAGCTGAAATGCAAAACGTTGGCTTCTTCACTTTGAGGTCATCATGGTGACGAACTCTGAAACAAAATAGAAAATAAATCAATCAGTCACGTAATCGCAGAGAGGGAGGGGGGTCTGTGAGCGATAATAACATCGGAGGGGGTGGCGGAAGAAGAAAAATAACACTGAATAAAAAAACAATAAAGTTAGATCCTATTTTATTATTCAAACTTTTTTTGTTGGTTTTATTTGGCTTCTCTATTGACAGCTCTTGTCGTACTTTTTTGTGTTTATTTTTACGACTTCTTTATTTCACGTTTATTTCGCAATTGGTTTTATGCAAAGTGTTTAAATCTGGAAAAACATTGTGGCAGTTGTTGAATTACAGTGAAATTATTGTGAATCTTCGGAGCATTCAAAGAATCTTATTGTACTGCACATTTTTTTACACGTTTAAAAAATAGAACGCCACAGATAAACCGAAATTCCAGTCAGCCATCTTGAAGCACCTTTGCGGTCTCGCAAATTTTGTTGATATAATCCTTCCTTAGACCGAGCGCCCACGGTGCGACTATTTTGAGATACAAGTTTCAAACTAGTTTACCCTACACTCAGTTTCCAACTAAAATATAACTGCTGCACGCACCCGGATGCAACTCATTCTTAGTCAGTTTCAATCAGTTGGAGCAGCAGTTCAATTAAAAAAATACAATGTCAAATTCGGAATATTGAGAATTATCATCATCCTCATTAATTATCATAAATACCACAGACAATACAGAACACATAGAGAGTACTGGGTCCATCCATACATGCTTTCTCACGTTTTTCTTGCAGTACTCTAGAAAGTTTATAATTATAGAGTTCTTCGTATTTCTCAACCTCTCCGACAAATTTTATGTTCAGTTCTAATCACCCATTTTGAAATATAAGAAATAACGTTTATAAATATTATTAGAAAAGGAAATTATATAGGGTGTATACTGAATAAATGCGCATAAATTGAAAAGACGTTATTTCTGCAACTAAAAATTTTCAGTTTTTTTTCGATTGCTTAAAAAATTATAAAAACGAGGACAGAAATATTTTTTTTTGTTTTAAATTTTAATCATGTTCTTTAGAAAATCCTGAAGCTATTCGCTATTCGTATAATACTAGATGTTTCCTAAAATACAATATACGTTTTTCAATTTTCTTTTTTTTTTCATAAAATAATATGTAGATAAATTAGGAAACATCCTGTACATTTTATTATGTCCTCTATAATACCTCAATAACTTTCAAAGGCAACCGACATTTACGAGTTATAATAATTGTAAAATTCCCATCGCATCGGCCGCCTAGCTGCTAATTTTGCAGGATATAATTTAATTTGAGTACATTTATCCGCCCATAGTTTTATTTTAAAGTTAATTATATTCATATTAACGCCTTTGCTAAATAATATTTATTTAACTATTTACTGCGATGTTTCCAACATATACTTTGTAATAATTTTCATATTTTACGACGACTGAAATCGACAGAAATCGAGTATTTTTTTATAATTTATTGTAAACTAGTAAATTCTAGCAACTGAAATCGACAGAAATCCGAGTATTTTTTTATAATTTATTGTAAACTAGTAAATTCTAGCAACGAAAAATTAATTATTGAAATCACTAATTTCGAGGTTCCGAATGAGGCTTAATAATACATAAATAAAATAATATAAAACCTATGTGCCTATGTGTATTTTGCTTCACTGTTTTTAAATTTCTTTAGTTTAGCTCGTACTAATAGTTAAAAAAAGAAAAAAAAATGGACTAGACAAAAAATCTCTTTCCCAATCGGTTAGTTCGCTGTGTGTGTGTGTGTAAAAATGTAAATATTTTCATTTCTTTGTCATAGCCGTTGACAGACGCGTTCGCCGTTACAAAAATGTATGCCAAGAAAAAAAATTAGTCACACCGGCATATTCCACCATAGCGAAAACATCCCAGATATTATTAAACGGTTTTATCTTATCATTACCTTGTCAAACAACGATATTTACTATACGGTGTATCCATAAACATGTATCCCGGCTTACTTTTAATTGCGATGACGTAAGACGTCTACCCGTCTACCTGTTTTATATACTGAGTGTTTGGATATCACCTCAATCCGTTATATTCAAATGAACTACATTACGTATACCATTCTGGACATCATCTGCGTGGTTTGTATTTTAATGCATGTAACAGAGATAAATATAAATGACCGGTTGACAGACAGAGAGATAAAATAAAAAGCGGCATACAGTGTTGCCGGTTTTTACGTGAGTAGGAAAATGTGTGTAGAAAAAAAATGAACTATTTTAAAAACTTTCATGTATACTACTGAAATGAAGATAATATAATATCTAAGCTAAATATAATCTATTACAGCTGTAGTAAAATGAGTAGCTAATTGTGAAAAATAAAGTTCCAACATCAGATGCAACGTGTTTCGTAAAACGCCTACTGGCGCGGTTTCAAATTTTGATGCAAAATACGGCAATACTGTATAGAAGAAATGTATTAACCCAACTTTTATATCTTTTTAATACATTTGATTTTTCATAAAGGTACACTCATGCTGAGAGCGTCGAGCGTCGCGTCCGCGTGTCGAAATGGAATCAATTCACTTAACTTAAATTAGACCGTTCAGGCAGACAGCGTCGCGTTTGGCGTTGCGCTAGCATTCGCTGAGCGTCGGGGTTCGAGTACAATGGGGCAAACGTGACGCGACGCTCGACGCTCTCAGCCTGAATGTACCTTTGAGCTTACTACATCACTGTCTTCACCCTAAAATCCAGACCACGCAGTTTCAATTACCAGATCGGTATATGTATGTATTTGAATATAACAAATATTTAGCTCAAATATTTATTTTTACTGCATTTATTTTACACTGTATGATAAATAAATAAAATTAATACAAAAGGGTGTCATAGTAAGCACAGAAACCATATTTCAGTTCAAGTTTTACCATGTCTATAGCCGTATAATTAGCATGGATTTCGAATAATTTACATCAAAGCTGTCACTGAAAAAAGATCTCTATCGCTAAACAAAGTTGAAACTAAAATAACCATTTTGCCTGCCTACTATGACATAAAGACATTATACTAACTTAAGAAACAAAAAAACAATATTTTATCATCTGTCATGCAATCTATTTGTTTAATTAATGTTCCTAGATGTATAAAGTACGACAATTACCTCCATTGCGTACCGGGAAATTTAAAACTAATGACATATATTTTTTTATATTGACATAAATTTAGTATTGTATATTTCTGTCACAAAATGTCAACATTTTATCACCAATATTCGCCATTTTACTCCCAAAGTAGTTGACAGACCAATTGCCTTACTTTATACACCTAAGGACTTTGATAAATATGCTTAAAATATTCTGCCCTCTACCGGTCCCCCTCTGACTCAACAAAGTGACGTCTATGACACATACTATAGGTATACATCTAATGACGGGTTAAGTACACATTAGTGCCCAGTGACAAACGCTAGACGGCTCTGAAACACAAACGATTGTCATCGCAGCTGTACCATTGTTTAGTATAAATTTTGTTTTAGTGTGTTAAGTCTTTTAAAGCAGCTAGCAAAAAAATGCAATTATATAAGCGCATATTTCGTTGTAGTATGGGAGTTTATGTTTATATGTTGTTATATTGTATCTATCGTTAGACATAATATACAAATGTTGAATTGATGTGAGCTTCTTCTGATGTATCTCATGATGTTTATTTCCTTCTTTTGATTAAAATATAAATATCAAAATGTTTGTTAAGATGATTTTTTTAAAGAGTACTTTCCGTGAAGGTATGAATTATTGAAAGTGTATTGTGAAAATTTTAAGCGACATGCTTTCCAGTTTAAAACAACAAAAGCAAATTTTGGTGGAAGAATCAGCAACAGCAGTAATTTTAGTAGTTAAAAAAGCAATGCGTCCACATAGAACAGTAATGATTTCGTCTTTTAAACGACCATTGGTTGTTCAGTTTATTTAAAAATTTTATTATAAATCTACCATTAAATAGAAAAGACTAAGGAACGAACTTACAGAAAAAAATCATCCATTCTTTTGTCAGTTTTGTTTTTTGTTGACGTTTCACTTGACATAGTTACACTTGAAGGGTTTGTTGTATGGAGGGTAGAGGCAAATCATTTATTTATTCTAATTTATTATTAAATTTTATTAAAATTTTTAACACTGATGTTCAGCCAGTTAGTAGCAAGTAGCCTGTAGCAGCAAATAATAGTTACCTACAGCCAATTAAAAAAAAATAATCGTATTTAAGAAAATTACAAAATCCCTATTTTTTCAAAGTTTTACCACACTCTAACTTTAAAACTATGCATTACAAACTTGTTTATAGGAACTTTTTTTCATATTTTTTGATAAGGCATCAATGAGTACTTACTTTGGTACAATGAGTACAACTTTGACCATTTAATGACATTTAAAAATTTAAAGGTTGCCATTAGACTTGGATTAAAGTAAATTAATAAATTGCTTTTATCTCATCGAGGAGACCGAACTAGAGAAAAAATCGAGAGACAACTTTTAATCGGCATTAAACGGTCTACATCATTTTACTAACAAGATAAAAAAGTCAGTGGCATACATGTTTTTATTAGAGATATCGCTAGAAGCACTTGAAAGAAAATTATAATAAATAAAAAAAATGAAGATTTTAAACTCCTGAAGCTACGAAGCAAAGCAAAATCGGGCCTATGTTGATATAAAAAATAAATCTTATTTTTACGTGAAGAATAACCCCACAAGAGGTGGCACATGTTTTTTGAAACACCCTGTATTTTGCCCGAAAAAATTATGCAGTATTTGACGAAACACCCTTTCCCTTATGAGAGATTTAGTGAGGTTTGGTTTGACTCCCTCCCCCCTTATATAATTAACGGACGCCCCCTTTTGTTGATACGCCCCTTCCTCAGTCTTTTCATTCAACAAATTCTTGTGTATTTCACTGGTCAATCAACGGTCGTTTTTTTTTAAGACAAAATCTTTCAACTACTATTTAAACAGCCCAACTACAGAAACTGACCAGCAGGACACGCGTGCGTCCACGGCTGTACAGCGACCGAATACTATGAGCGAAAGAGTTCGGAAATCTGCAAACAAAACGGAATGACAATCTGCCAGTAGATAGGCCAAAAAATAAATTTAGAAAATCGTGTAAAAAATATAAAAAGGTGCTTAAAGAGAATCAATGATCGGAAGAAAAGCTTTATATTGTGCACACAGGCATACGGGATGGTTCACGGTCAATTTTAAACTGCGAATCACCCTGTATAAAACGAAAAAAAAACTTTGAACAAAGACCTTCAGACCCGAAAACTTGAAATTTAAGTGTGAAATTTTTTATTTAAACCTAAAGATAATTGGAATTTTCACACAGTTCTTCTAATCTACATTATCAGGGAGGTTTAATTTTTACTGCTATTTTTTCTTGTCCTTTTTTGGAGTCGGGCAAGGCTGTTTATTTTTCTTTTTCTTCTTGGAGGCCTTATTTCTCAAGAAAACGTTCATGTAAAAGTTTTTAAAATCTATCGAAAAAAATATAACGTCTAAGAACAAGCGAAATTGGAAAAATTGTATGAAGGAAAATTATTAAGAAAAATCACTCGAGATACAGATATAATATTATTTTTTTTTAAAAATAGATACCAACAAAAATACATCCTCCGGTAGAAAAACGGGCACCTTAAAATTTTGATGCATTTTAAAGTTTAGTATATTTTATTCTAGTGATTTGAAATGATTTTCATGATTTTTAAAAATTTGTAGCTGAATCATTTGACTTTTTAGTAGCCTGAATATATTTGCAAAGCAAGGAATTTAAAAATAGTTTTATCATATAGGTAAGTCTCTCGATAATTTGTTGTTTGATTCATCTCAATAGCTTTAGTTTTATTGGAGATAATCGCTTTTAATAATACAGTAAAGATTTACAGCAATTTTAACATTGAAAACATGCTTTTGCTTTTGGATCCCCATCAACACACTTGTCAGGTCTTCTTCAAAAGCGAATACCTCCAAAAAAATAAACTACTGAGATGAACTGAAAAACATCGAGAAAAGATATACTTAGATAATAAAATTATTTTTAAATTCTTTGGTTTGTTACCATACTCCACAGGGTGTTTCAAACTTTCATCAAAATTTCAACATTTTGTTTTCCCTCGTATTAGAAATTAAGAAAGGAATTTACTCGTAATTTAGAAAGAGATATTAAACAGTCAAATAATTTAGCTACAAAATGCTTAAAAAATATCAAAATTGGTCCACAAACACAATATATAAAACTTTAAATTACATGAAAATTTTAAGGTGCCCGTTTTTCGTGCCGGTGAGTGTATATATACCGGGTGCGTCTCGAAAGTGGCTCACCCCTATAACTTTTTTATTTCTTCAGATAAAAAAATCGAGATTTGGTACGTTAGTATATGACATAAATTAGGATTGATTGACGTATACAATTGTTTTTGGTGACTTCCTGTTTCACCGGAAATGACTACAACTTTTGATTTTTAAATGGCACCCTCGGTATTTTTTTATTTTATTCGATAGAAAATGACATTCTGAATAGAATGACATATCATATGTCAACTTTTGATATTCTCGCTTAAAACAAAATTAAATTTTAAAATTCAATCTAGAGTGCCATGGTTATGTTAAAAATACTAATTCTTAATCAAGGAGCCTTGGAAAAATAGATTTGATTGTCTAATGTTTTTAGTGTATTGTTCTGGCCAGTTAGAAAATGCTCAAATCGTACTTTTAATCATATTTCAATTTTTTCAAATGTAACGAGGGTGGCTCATTAGCATATTTGGAAAAAGCATTTTTTACGAATAATTTGGTACCACACACTTGGTATTTCGAGCCAAATTTTCGTTACGAACCGCAAGTTATAATTTCAAATAAACCATATGCGAAAATGTCAAAAGTTGACATATGATATGTCATTCTATTCAGAGTGTTATTTTCTATCGAATAAAGTAAAAAAGTACCGAGGGTGCCATTTAAAAATCAAAAGTTGTAGTCATTTCCGGTGAAACAGGCAGTGACAGAAAACAATTGAATACGTCAATCAATCCTAATTTATGTCATATACTAACATACCAAATCTCGTTTTGTTAACTGTAAAAATAAAAAAGTTATAGGGGTGAGCCACTTTTGAGACGCACCCGGTATAAATTATGACCTTTTATAAAACTTATATAATAAAATTATTATCTTAAAGATTAAACTGGTTGAAGTAGTAATCACAATTAATTATCTTTATGACAAATAATTCTTAAAATTTTTAGATATCTTCAACATTCATTTCCATATCAGGAAAATACATTAGATAAAACAATGAGGTATACGAGCTATTATTAAATTTTACTGCACACAAACTCGACTAAACCATTTTGATATTCAATAAAATAAAAATATTTCGCTTGAAAATGGCTACGAAACAGAAAATTTTGAGTTTCTTACAAAACATGATAAATGAAAACGAAAATGAGTCAGTACCTAACACCTGAATCATCGTTTAAAATTTATCCATTACTATATTATGTAAATTTATTACAAATGGTTTGTTACAGGTATCGCGCATAAATAATGCAAAAAAAAACAATGAGGGAGATTCCTAATGTAAAAAACATGAGCGTAAAATTTAGTTTAAATAATTAATAAACATTTATTAGTTTTTTTAGCTCATCCGTTAATAAAGAAAATGGGATTCCTGGGTCAAAGATTATTACTTTTTTACTGAACCTATGCAAACTTTTTTTTGGATATTTTTTAATTTTATGACCATACTATTCTTGTTTTTCTTTTCGTGCATGTTATTATTTCAATTAATAGTAAAAATGACAATGATTATAGCAGGATTTTAGTAGAGCTATGAAACATGATTTCCTTAGGTTGTAAAATAAGGGATGGACGTTTGTATAATTCATATTATCTACTCTAGAAGTACAAATTTTTGTACAATAAGTTCTTGGACTGACAATAAGAAATTTTTTGTAAAACCATTTTTTTAGAAAGTAAAATGGACCGAGAATTATACGAAAATTCGTTACCTCTAGAAACACGAATAATTAGTTTCTGACAAAACTAGTAAATTGGGACTATTTTATACAAAATCGGTCTGTCAGACCGACAAGGTGGTCTTACAGACCTATTCGTCGATCTGAGACCGACACGTCCGATCGTCACTCTAGCGTTGCTACTTCAACCAGGCCGGGTTTCCGAATTTCACCATTGTGCATCAAGTTCTTGGAGTGACAATAATGATGATTTTTTTTTGGAAAGCCATCCCTATCCCTTTAAAGGTAAAATTGAGCGAGAATTCTATGAAAATTCGTTATATTTCAGCCTAGAAACACAAAATATTGGTTTCTGACATTATAGAGCCCTAGAAACTTAATTTTATGCTGTCAAAGCTGCGGGTATATACTAGCAATTTTTAACGCATTTTACATAAATCGGTCTGTCAGACCAATTTTTCGACACGTCGGTCCACGGGACCGACTAATCGGTCTGTGAGACCGATACGGTCTAACGTTACTACTTCGACCAGGCAGTGTTTTCTGGGCATCATCGCCCGTGTCACCTACCTTCGTAATTGACTTGGCCGTCGCCGTCGATGTCCGCCTCCCTGATCATCTCGTCCACCTCCTCGTCGGTCAGTTTCTCGCCGAGGTTGGTCATGACGTGGCGCAGTTCCGCCGCCGATATGAAACCGTTGCCGTCCTTGTCGAAGACGCGGAACGCCTCGCGGATCTCCTCCTCACTGTCGGTGTCCTTCATTTTGCGCGCCATCATCGTCAGGAACTCGGGGAAGTCGATCGTTCCGTTACCTAAAAAAAATTATTCGTTATTACCGAAATCCCTTAAATTGGAAAACATTTCCCCTGTTGACAACTCCGCATTGTCGAACATTCAGGGTGAAGTTCGAACATAAACAAAAATAGACAGAAGTCAACAAATTATCGAACAAGACATCGTACCCGATATACATACATGAGACACACTGCGTATTTAGTCGCCTTCATAAAATTAACTCTCTCCGGAGAATTAGTCCTCCGCGTTTCGTTTTAAAATTAAAAACTCAATTTAGCTCGAGACTAATGACCTAATAAAAACTGCATACGTTCTCGTCTGGAACGCGAGTACCTGGCTCTTGTGCCATATACGAAGGATAAACCACTTCATGAATAACGTTAACGTTTCATTTTGCTAATTAACGTATCCAGACGAGTGCGTGAATGTAACCAGAGAAAGCCAATTTCAAGAAAAAAAACTGGTCTAAAAATACTCCATTTCTATAGAACTTTTTTAGCAATCTTCTACATACCGGGTGGTGCATCGGCGTTGGAAACATAAGAAATCCCATGCAACTTATGAACTATCCAAATACTCCCCTTTTGATTTTACAGCAAAGTCGTACATAGTTTCTTTAAAGGTCCTGAAAAAAGGTCCTTTTTTATCCTGAAAACACATACCAAATTTGAACAATTTTGAACAAGCCATTTAAGTAATTTAGGAAAAACTGCATCTAATTTTAAATTAAATCTGAACAGGTAACAATGGAAACAAGGTAAATGTCAACATACAAGTTGTCAACCTATGATTGAATGCAATTTGTTGTGCTCTCTACGCTACTATGTTATAATACATACGGTTAGTGTACCCCTTGTGTACCCGATATGCATTTTTGAAAATTAAAACTTGTTCAAATTAGAGAAAAGCCTGAGGTTTAGGAAATATAATTTGACACTGACAAAATTATAAGTTCGCAACTTAAGGTATGTTGGCATTTACCTGGTTTTGATTGTTACCTGTTCAGTTTTAATTTAAGAATAGATGCAGCTTTTCTTAAACTAGTTAAAACGGCTTGCCCAAAATTGTTCAAATTTGGCATGTGTTTTCATAATAGGGAAGACACTATTTGGGCCAGTTGACAGAAAATTGGCATGAAATCTCCTATCTTTCCAACGCAGATGCACCACCCGGTATATTTATTTAACATGTAAAATTTTTCGTACGTGAGTTGTAGTTTTCAAAACATTTAAGCCTGATTTTAGGTTTCTTATAGGCTGCGAGGTAGCGTATAGAAATCTAAGAATCAGAAAAGGACCACAATAGATCTGAGAAGGTCAGAGTGGACCAGGCCGAGAGCCACCTCTAGAAATCTAGCGTATAAAAAACTACAAAACTATATTTCAATAATTCCGCCTTTTCTACTGATTAACGTATGCAACCCTGTACACTGACACAGATACTCTGTTACAGATAAGTTAATTACGTTGTCAACATGGCACTATTGATTTTGCTCTGACGATATCGGACACCTTCAGCGATTATTAGACGCCCACTCCACTTGTAACGCCGATCTGATTGGAAAACACACAGAAAACACACCAGTAGATACGCGCTCGAAAAATCAGCCATGACGACAGTTTTTTTTCACCCCGCTCGATATTCAATTAATTTCCTTCGGTGATATATCGAATTTCTTCGAGAAAAAATGCTGTTTGATCTACGAAACTCCACCAAGGAAACGAAAGTATCTCTAGTGACAAAAAAGAAATTCAATTATAGATTATACTTGAAAATAATTTGTTTTTTTATAACTTTTCGTATAAATTCAGTCAAATATCTATCTAGTCAACATTTTTTGTCAATGATGACATGTATTGATTATTTCAATTCCAAATATCTTGAGAACCATTACTCGTGGCGATTTTTACCAAGAGACTTTTTTTACGTAAAAATCGGCGGAAATGTATATTTTTCAGTAGTATAATACAGGTACGTACGAAAAGTTATTATTCTTCAAAACAGTTAAAAAACATGTAGGTGGCGCCCCCTACAATTAGTAGTCATACTGACACCCAAATCGAATTTCTCGTGTCAAAAAACGCCCATTTAAAAAAACCACCCACTCATTTAAAAAAAACGAACAAAAACTATTTACTACTTTAGAAAATTTGACATAGAAACACTCCTTAAGGTTTAAAATTACGATATTTATAGCAAAGTAACTACAGACCAATTATAGTTAATACCTAGTTTTAATTTCAGGGCATTTTTTTTTTTTGAATACCGTATGATCAAAAAAAATTAATGGCTATGAAATTAAGATCGCTGTCTTTTTTATGTAAAATTATATGGAGAATGTCATCGATCGTCATTTCCAAGCCAACTGGACGCCGTTTTTCTTCGATCATTCATTCGGTAGTTTTTGTAAAAAAGGTTGAAAAAAATATTTTTTATTTATTTAATAATATTTCTAAAACTATCAAAACATATTTAATACCTTAGGATTATGGTGATAAAGTGATCAGGAAAGGAATCCAAACATGCAATAATATACCGGGTGCGTCTCAAAAGTAGCTCACCCCTAATTTTTTGATAATAAAACGAGATTTGGTTTTGGTACGTTAGTACATGACATAAATTAGGATTGATTGACGTATCCAATTGTTTTTGGTCACTTCCTGTTTCACCGGAAATGGCTACAACTTTTGATTTTTAAATGAGACACTCGGTATTTTTTTACTTTATTTGATAAAATATAATACTCTGAATAGAATGACATATCATACATATGTCAACTTTTGGCATTTTCTGTAACATGCGGTTTATAACGACAATTTCACTCAAAATAGCAAGTGTGTGGTACCAAATTATTCGTAAAAAAATGCTTCTTCCAAATATTCTAATGAAATTCTATTCCATTTGAAAAAAATTAGATATGATTAAAAATACGACTTGGGCAACTTTTAATCTGCCAGGACAAGACACGAAAAACATTTGACTGTCAAATCTATTTTTCCAAGGCTCCTTAATTAAAAATTAGTATTTTTAACTCAGCCATGGTACTCTAGATTGAAATTTAAAATACGATTTGTATCTTCTATCCAGTAAAGTAAAAATATACCGAGGGTGCCATTTAAAAATCAAAAGTTGTACTCATTTCCGGTGAAAGAGGAAGTAACCAAAAACAATTGAATACGTCAATCAATCCTAATTTATGTCATATACTAATATACCAAATCTCGTTTTTTTATCGAAAAAAATTAAAAAGTTATAGGGGTGAGCGACTTTCGAGACGCATCCGGTAGAACGTATTCCATTTAAAATAAATTATCCCGATCCACTCACATTTTTTTCCGCCATCCTGTAGCAGTTAAAATATTTTCCTCAAATACATCCATACACTTTAGGTTTGCTCTTATCCAAAATTATTTAAATTTAAAAAAAAGTATTTTAATATAGGAGCTACAGATTTCCGACGCATTGTTGCCATACCCGTATAAAGTAGTAGGAGAACTTTGAACCGTGGCAACCCCTATTTGCTGCAACTTTTTGATTGGTACTCTGTTAGAAGTGTATTCTCCTGTTCATAAATATACGTAAAAATTAGGTTTTGATTACAAATATGAGCGTAATAATCCGACAGCTGGATCTTAGACTATGACAAATTATGATCAAATCAAAAACGGTTTATGTATATCGATCTCGCTCAATAGAAAGGTGTGAGTATATGTATAGGATCTGTGCTCGAAAGGCGTTAAATGGGCCTTTTATCATTTCCAATCATCCATCGGCTGCGATGCGAGACATGAATGAGAAAAGTCGAGCGGCTGCGGCGTGCGCGACCTTTTCAGTTCCGCATTTATTACGATGCGCCTTCTTACTACAGCCCAATTAAATGTTTATTATTTATAGGCCGGCCTGTGTGTGTTTTTCTATTATACGCCGCTAGCCGGTCGATATTTTTAGCATTGACACCTCTCTCTCTCTCAAAGTCCCGTGCAATTTTTAAAACTAATCACACGAACGAACCGTCCCACTATCGCTTTACGGATTTTTTTATTTTTTTTCTCTGAAAATCGCCGACAATAAACAGCTGGAAAAACTGGAATTATTCGCTTTTTCGTTACGTCAAACCTGTAACCACCATGTTTTTTGTTTGTTTATGTCACCTTGCTCACATAAACGAGCATGTAAAAATGAACACTACAGAAACCTCGTCGTGAGATTTCTTCACATTTTATTTAGATTATTTTAGATTATTATTCTTTAGATTTTTAGAGTTCTTTTAGTGTACGATAGTTTTTTTGTTTTATAGTTTATTAAAAAAGATTCGTCTATCGGCTCAATGCTTTAAAAAATTGTTCATTTGTGCCTTTCGCTACTAAAAGCTACTAAATCGCTACTGAAAGAAAACGAAGAAATATTTATGTACAAGAAATATTTGTGGAAGCGATAAACCTGTTTAACTATTTTATGTTTAGTTACTGTTAACTTATGTTTTGGAACAAAAAGTCTTGATGGTTTGTTTTATTTTAGCATCTTTCGAGTATAAATATTTTTAAGAAAGCAAGAAAGACTATCAATCGCATACCGCTGACAAAACTTTTTGGTAAATTCCAGACATTACGTATTACGTTTCAAAAATGTTTCACCCTGTGCCTCTTTTTTACCATCTCGTCCTGTATTTTTTATTTTGAAAGTTGGCAACCCCAATACAGGGTGGTCCGAACTGTATTCGGAAATCTTCGGGAGCACATTCTGCAGATAAAAATAAGCAAAAAAGTTCGTATAAATGTATGTCCTAAAATGTTTCGTTTCGGAGATACACTTTTTTATAATCACGTCGCAAAATTTAAAACTTTTGTGACGTTTGAAAAAAAAACATTTATTTATAAGTTTTATAACATATCTAATTAAATTTAGATGAAAGGAATTGCTGGATCTTCTAGATAATTTTCTCAGGGAAAAAAACAACTATAAAGGACACTAAGTCAAAAAAAGTCAAAAGGGCAATTTGTTCCCTATCGGAAAATGT